GTTATTCAGTCGTGGGAGCCTTTGTGCCTCCCGAATCCCCCCTTTCTATTTGAAATAAATAATTTGTACGGGCGGGCGCAAGCTACCCAGGAGGTATTCATTGTTTCTCCGTTACATAGTTCTATCCCTAAATTTGTAATAGTGTCGGCGTGCAATGCCGATATATTCACTACTATTACCAATTATTTATAAAGGGGGAAGGCAAGGGAGGCGGTGTATCGCTCCAAGCAAAGCAGGAAGGAGAACAGCGGGCAAAATGATTTCACACACACAACTCGTTGATAAACCGTTTATTACAACGCACTACCTAGAGTGCCGGCGAAAGTATAAACACTTATTAACAATAACGCGCAAACTTAATCTAAACGAGATGACCGGCACGTTAGCGCCATGTCACCTTGTTAACCGGCTCAAACAATTACTTAAATTACACACTGCCGAAAACTACGCCGGCTCGGAAAAGCCTGGCGTAGCAACGCGAACCGTGAGAATCGCCGAGGAAAGGAAGAGATATAAAGAGAGAGAGGAATCGGTGACCTGACCAATTTCGTCGCTGTTGCTGGCAGCCTTGAAGGTGTCCCACCGGCGGCTAGGCTGGAAAACCACTGGCTGCTGCGTGGCCGGCGACCTGGCAAAAAAGGCTGTTGGGTGTTGCCTCGATGACGGCTTCTTGCAGGGCAACTCCTGACTGCTGCGTCGCTGGCAGAGGAAGTCCTGTCCGGCCAATCTGCTGAGGAATGCTGACTTCTTCCCGAACAAAGGGCAGGCAGCGATGGTCACCAACTAGCTCGTACGACTGATTGCTGTCGCGCGCGTCGCGTAACTCTCTGTCGCGAGTGCATGAGAGTCGGCTTCTCACGCCTTCTCCCACCACTCGCCTCCTAATCGGCGGCACGCGGCAATGCTGGTCGCGACAAGTGCCGCGCGCCAAGCCCAACTACTAGACTATTGCTTTTCTCTCTCTCTCTCTCTCTCGCACTCTCAATACTCGATCGCGTCGTCGCGTCCACGGCTTCTCCTTCCACTCTCGTGCGTTGCTGAAAAATAAAAGGGCAGGCATCAGGCACGTGATAATAACGTGCGCTTGATGCCGGCCGTGCGCCTTTGCCTAAGAAGGAGAGGGAGGCAAGCACACGGTGCAGGCCATGACAGGCCTACACCGTCACAAATTTGCAATTTCATTAGCATAAACAACTTTTTAACTCGTTTAAATTGCTTTAAAAAGTACAACATACGTGTTATTTCACACATGAATTAAATAATATTGTTAAACTTGGTAAAGATAAAATTGAAAAATGGTTAAAAACTTGCATTGTTTATAAACTTATAAAATATTGAAATAGTCTGTAAGTACGATCGTTAAAGTAAAAAGGGAAACATATATTTAAAGAAAAAAAAAGGTAAATCAAATGCGTGTTGTATGCAATTATATAAAAATGGTTATGGGCTCAAACCGCGTATGCAGATATGAGCTTCTTTTGTATAGTGCTAATATAAATGACAAATAATATTGAGATGGAGTCAATTTCGAAAATTGAAAAACTAAGAGATATGGACAACTGGAATCCATGGCTTTTTGTAGTGCGCACGTATCTTGAGGATGACGTCAATATGGCGGCAAATATGGATCAAATTGAACGCAGTGTACGAGATGAAGTCGGATGGAAATCTGTCATTGCTGCAAAAAAAAATCGTTGAGTTCAAATGGGATAAAAGTGATAGCGCCGTGGCGAAGCCTTCAAAGATAGAAAATTTTGCTGTTAGGATGAAAAATTTGGGTGGTAAAATATTGTAGTTAATAATACTAACCCGAATTTTGTTTTGTCTTCAAAAAGAATTCATTTTTACAGTGTGTGGGACTCCGAAATAAATAAAGAAGAAATAAAAGAAAAGAAAACTCTAGAAAATCTAACCGCAAAACTAATGATAGAAGAATCGAGAATAGGTAATTATGAAGGAAATTCGGTGGTTCAATCGATTGCTTTAGTTATAAACAAACCAAGAGTTTGAGTTTCTCAAAAACGAACAAAAAAAGAGCAAGTAAAAGAAACACAAAAATAGGAACTCAAGATGCGGTAACTGTTACAAGTGTCACTCTTCGAATCACTATCTACGCGACGGTTTGAACAGACTTCAAGGAAACTGTTTCGAATGTAAATGAACATCGAGATCCTCGAAGTTGGCTACTAAACGAGTTGAGAAAAGGCGCGTAAAGATGATAAGGTGCAGGCTCGCGACGTAGTCAAATTTGGGCTCATATTTTTGTTTTCTTTCCGGTCGATATAAATTCACGACGGTGCGATGGAACACTTGTCAAGTGCATTTAGAAATTATTTATGATTGCCCATTCAAGTGTTGCGCACGAGAAAATCAGCGCTGGACAGGGTCCGGCAAGCGCATACATGTTTAGGCTCGGATTTCCGCTTGCATGCTCGAAGAAACCATAAAAAAAGAAAATATTTCGTCCTCTGTGTGATGAGTGACATACACATCGAACTATAATGCTTGTAGCGGAGTGTGAGTGAGAGAATATGCGAGTTTTTTATATAATTGTAGTACTTTAAGCGACTCGACTAAATGTACAAACGACAGGTTGCTGGCGATTTGTCTGTGATGCGCACTGACACGAGCCTATGCCGGATCTTTTTAACTATTTGAAGAGAGAAGATGAATTCCTCGAGATCCCTATCATGATTGACGAAACCGAGCGCCGCTGTCCCAATGCTCAATAAGCGCCCGCATCGCCAAATCTGATGCAGCGTTGCGAACCAAAACCTAGCAGATTTGTAGCAGAAACGTGTATTTTCAAATCTCGCGTCGAGATGAAAGACTCGGGGGTTGAGAAAGCTTGGAGCAGGAACTATGGTATTGCCCCGAAAGCCAAGTCAGAACGTGCGACAAACCAGCAGATTCAGAAACGTGCCTTTCCGAATCTCGCATCGAGATAAAAAAAAAAAGAAGATTAATCGGCTGAGCGCGTGGGCCTCCCTAAAAGCCAACAGTGATACACGAAGCTAGCAGAAAGGCTGGCTACACGAAGTCATCGGAGGTAAAACCAAAATATGCGATACCCTATGAACTCTGAATCATGAGAGAGGGAAAACTTAAAAAAAAGGAAGAAAGAAACGGAAGTGGGAAAGTGACTCACAGGAGAGACTCGCTCAGGGCAACTCACCAGAACGCTTGCAACCGTTGTCAAGGCAAGTACACTAAGAACATTGTAATGCAAAATTCTTGCGTTTCGGAGTGGTCTGCGACAACTCGTTATAATAATCAAACTTGTATTGTTTCTTTTAAAAGATTTAAGTTGAATTTATATCTATATTTGTAGATTATAAAACAAAATTGAAACTCATTTTAATTGTTTTACCCTTCGGATCTGCGTACGGGTATAGGAATATAAACATAGAAACAGTCGTTGTGAATAAGCGCGAAAGCTACATATTATATGATGTTTTATTTATACCTACGATATATATCAATCTCCTTTCATTAAAGGCTTGAAGTTACAAATAACAGGAAAGTTTGTACCTAACTTGAAAATATTGTAATCATTGCGACTTGTTCCGAGGCAGTTAATCTGTATAAAGTTGACTTAGAAGTTGTAATGCCTGAAAAGTTGAGCTTTGCCGCTAATAGAGAAAACATGCAGTTCTGGCATGAGGGAATATGCCATTAAAATAATCGACTTGTACGCGAAATTCTGAAAACTGTCGATAACAGTTTTAACCTAAATCTTGATAATCAATTTTATGATCGTTGTACCTGTGGCAAATCTTACAAAAATCCTTTCCATAGTAGGCTCGATCGCGACAAAGAGTTAAGACAAATTTTGCATATTGATTTATGTGGACTGATGTGGATAGAATTGATAGGCAAAAATAAGCACTATCTATTTATAAAAGACAATTACTCGAGTTTCCGGAAAATTTATTGTTTGCGCCAAAAATTAGAAGCTTCTGAATGCTTACAAAAGTTTTGCATAGAAATAAAAAATCAATTCGGCAGGGATGTAAATGAAATTGTAAGCGATGGTGGCGAGGAGTTTGTCAACGATGTAAACTAAAAATTTTTTGAAAGCAGAGGTATAAAGCATATGGTAACTATATTACGGTAACTAACTATCACAGCAAAACAGTATCGTGGAACGCGAGAACTGAACGATTGTAGAAGCTGTTCGATCAATATTGTATTCAAATACAGACCTGCCGCGCTTCTTGTGGGCTGAGAGCGCTAACACTGCCGTCTATGTTTTGTACAAAACTGATCTGATTAAACTTCTAAGAAAAACTCCACATTAATTGTGGATGGATAAATTAACATAGAGCAATTCTAAGGCTGGATTCGGATTTAGTGCATCAAAATCCTTAGGGATACATTGCTATTATTTATGTGATAAATCCTTATTGACTTGTGAATAAGACCACTGTCGAAAAATATAATTTTAATTTATTTTAAGTTTTTATGAGTGATGGTGACATTATTTACATATTTTTTTTAAACATAATTTTGACTTCGTAATCATGTGAGCTTAACTGATGGGCTACCTTAACACAAAAAATCTTAACCTTAAAACAATAAAGAAAAAATCTTTAATAACTAAACACATTTTTGAAAAAATAGAGATTGAAGATAGCATAAATGAAATATTATTTAAAAAATAAAAAGAATAAACGTTGACGAAAAAACGCCAATTAGATTTTCTTCCAGATTTTTCTCATAGAATAGATTAGTATAATTATAATTAGTTTTTCGAAATTATGAAATTTTTGATAATTCATTTATATAATTCATTTATATAACTTTTTATAAACAATAAGAATATAGACAATAAGATAAAGGATAGATACTTTGTTTTATTTATACCATAGGTGGTATAATTAGTTTGGAATTATTTAGCATAGATTCGTTTCGGGTATTGATACATCGAAAGAAAACAATATATTTCTTTATTAAAATTCGTTAAACTAAAACTATATTTTTATATTATATAATTACAGGGGAAGAATCGAGGTAGCTATAAAAAATACCGGACACAGGGGATCGTCGATTTCATTACCACCAGGTGGTAGTAATAAGCCATATGGAATAGTTGCTGTTGCAGATACATGTCCAGGAGGTAATATTACTTAACTTACTTTGATTGGGATATATTCGTAATGAAATTAAGAGTTAATTTTAAAAATATCAAATTTCTGCTACTAACTTATATAATACTTGCTCATAATAATATAATATCATAATACTTGCTCTCTTATATTGAGATAGAGCTCAATGCGTTCATGGTTGATTAACAAACTTTTTAAAATGGAACGATTTTGATACCTTCCAGAATAAAAGTCGGAATAAATAGTTTTAAAAAAAGATTCGTGGTGTGCATAAAAATTATGGTATAGAAATCAATTTTCAGTGTCTAACACAAGTTATTATACTTTAGAAAATATTATTGCTTATTATTCACATATAATATGCAAAAAAGTATAATCATTAATTGGACTACAACTAGAAAATTTTTTTACTTTCCAATATAATTTATAAAATGTCCATGGACAATAACTAAATTTTTTCAATACAATTATATCAATTGGTTACAAAAATAATCTTTGTTATAATTTACATGAAGGTACTTCACCATTGATCTGTACGCGTGCATTAATACTGTGTTTATTTAATTGTGTAAAAACAGTGTCTTACGTTTTCTGAATCTTGAAAATATTAGTATTGTGTGCATTAACATATTTGCTAGTCGACTTGGGTGTTTGGATATCTTCATTGGTATATTGTCTGCTAACTGTATAATTTTTTCTCTTATGGACGTCATATTAATATTTGTCCTTATGTATTTGTTTGTGACAAACCATGGTGCAACAGTAATAGATCATAGTGTTATAATTTAAAATCATTCTATTACATCAATATTTAATTTTTTAATTTTGTAACATTAGGCCAAAGTTGTATTACTATTTAATTATGTTCTATACTAGTTTAATTATGGGTATATATATATAATATATACCCCGTTACAATATATATATATATATTGTAACGGGGTAAAACCGTTTAATTGTTATATTCGCGCGACTGTATTAAAAGGACACGCGTAAATCGTCAATGCTCACTACTTATCCGGGAGAGCACGAGAAAGTATGCGTCAGTCAACCAATAATCGTTATTAACCTATACTAAATTGAGTGGAAGCTATGTGAGATGAGAGAATCAATGAAAACACTTGTTAGTAATGTAAATTGGGTCTTTTATTATCCCTCAAAATTCACAAAAGGTCGGCCCGCGCGTTTGTTTACATGCACGCTCGCTCGTCGACAACACGCTTTGTCGGTACGCTCGCTGCTCTTTGTTATTAGAGCCGTTACATGCACGCATTTACGTTATTCATTAATTAGATAATCGCGATCGCGAGATTAAGCTAGCCAGCTTACCTTATACTTGCAAGCGATCGGAGAAGTCACAAATACCTCGCACAGAGCGGAACTGTTTTTATTGTTTCTTACGCGGCTCGCGAATGCGCGCACGGAGTGGTTTCGCCCTCGATGGCGAAACCTCGCACACACACACACACTGCTTGGCCTTCAGCTGGTGTCCGGATGGCTCGTTGGAGGCAGCTGTCACGGCTATCTGGCACTCTCGATTATCTGCTGATCTGGCGTATCGTTGATAAGGGCACGTGAATTGGCGATTGCGGTAGCGAAAGCGGACGGATACTAGGATGGTCTAGGCTTCACTGGTTCAAATTCGGTCGCGCGCGTTCCGTCTGCTCGCGTGCCGAATTCCTTCGTTACCTATTCTGTCCCCCCGGCAGGTGCTGCCCTCATAGGCAGCAATTAAGCTAAATAGTCAGCGCTAATTTGACGTTTACCGTCACAATATATACGAGGTGTGATCAAAAAGTAAGGTGAATTTTTATTTTTCTCAAAAAATATTTATTTATTCATCAATTTTTATTTTATCTCCTTCAAAGTAATCCCCCTCGGATATAATGCACTTGTGCCAACGCTTTTTCCAATCCTCAAAGCATTTCAAAAAATCATTTTTTGTGATCTTGTTTAGTTCATCCTTCGATGCCGTCTTTATCTCCTCAATCGTGGCAAAACGCCGTCCTTTCATGGGCCTCTTCAGTTTTGGGAACAAGAAGAAGTCACAGGGGGCCAGATCTGGGGAATACGGTACCTGTGGCATCGTTACTGTGTTGGTTTTAGCCAAAAATTCGCGCACAAGCAACGATGTGTGCGCAGGGGCGTTATCATGGTGCAAAAGCCAATTTTTATTTTTCCACAAATTCGGACGTTTCTGGCGGATTGCTTCGCGCAAATTGCGCATAACTTGCAGGTAATATTCCTTATTTACTGTTCTACCCTGTGGCAAGAACTCATGATGCACCACGCCCCTGCAGTCAAAGAAAACTGTAAGCAAAACCTTTACACTTGATCGAACTTGGCGTGCTTTTTTTGGTCTTGGTGATCCAGAATGCCTCCACTGGGACGATTGAGTCTTAGTCTCGATGTCATAACCGTATACCCATGTTTCGTCACCTGTTATAAACCTGTTGAGTAAATCTGGATCATCGTTGACGTCATTAAGTAGCTCTTGGGTGATGCTCATGCGACGTTTCTTTTGGTCGAAATTGAGCAATTTCGGAACAAACTTCGCTGACACACGTCTCATGTCTAAAACACTCGTCAAAATTGATTGGCACGAACCAAATGAGATGCCAATATCGTCAGCAATTTCTCTAATGGTAATTCGACGATTTCCCAACACTATTTTCTTCACTTCTTCAACATTCTCATCAGTTGTTGATGTGCTGGGGCGTCCAGAACGAGGTTCGTCGTCGGTGTCTTCTCGGCCTTCTTGGAAGAGTTTATACCACTTGTAAACATTTTTTTGGCTTAAAGTAGACTCACCGTATGCCACTTTCAGCATTTCAAGTGTTTTGGAACATTTGATTCCATTTTTCACACAAAATTTAATGCAAACTCTTTGATCCATGTTTTTAGACAGCAGCAAATCATGGAGCACGCAAAACACTTCTAACCTTGATGCCTCTCACAAACAAACCAAACATACTACAAAGCTGAAATTTGGAACGTATGTTCTAGACGAGTGTACCGACATAACCAAATAAAAAAGTCGAAGATCGAACGGACGTAGCCCGCTAAATTTCAAAATTCACCTTACTTTTTGATCATACCTCGTATATATATATTGTAACGGAGAATCTCAGCTAGGCCGATTTCGTCCGTTTGGCTCTCGCAAATGTCCGCGCGCCGCGCTAAGCTGAGAGTGTGTGCGTGCCACACGCACACTCATGCTTGGATTTTTGTTTTCGAGGTGCTGTATACGGGCTGAGCTGATGGATGGAGCGATCGAGATGGCGCGGAAGAAGAAGAAAAGAGAGAGAGAGAGAGAGAGAGAGAGAGAGAGAGAGAGAGAGAGAGAGAGAGAGAGAGAGAGAGAGAGAGAGAGAGAGAGAGAGGAAGAGCGCTCTAGTTACGGATCATAGCGAAAAATTTAAGGAGAGAACGAAGTTAACGGTTTTCCAGAGTTGGCCTCGCGACCTCGTCAACGTTTTCGTTTTCGGAGACACGCCTGGTGCGCGGACAAGAATTGGAGAGTTGTGGCTGGGTCGCGCCCAGCCGTGTCCCGAAGTATACCCAGCACCAGTGCGTATGGGTAACCGGCGAGGTGCGCGGGTGTGCGCGTGTGAGCGGACTTTATCGCTGCTGCAGTACCGAGCAACCGAGGGGCAGTGGAAGCAACAATAACAGCAATCAACGAATGAACAACGGATTGAGGCAGCAATATTGGTAGAGCGAAGGAGAAGACGAGCAAGAAAACAAACAGCGACGATAATAAACACCAGAGAGGCGGTCAGCGACAAGGAGCGCACCAGTGACATCGCACAGCGAAGCGTTCTAGCCGTCAGAGAGGTTGAAGGTCGAGGTCGGTGCCGTGTTTTCTCTTACTTCTCTCTTTCTCTCTCTTGCATGTTTGGGCGCCAGCTGATGGGTGGTAGCGCGGCAGATCTGTCAGATATCCCGTTAATGAAATAACGACGGAAATTGTTTATCGGGCATTTGTTATAATAACTAGTTTTAAACAGCCTGACCAGCCATCGATTCACCTTCGAGTTTGCATTTATTATTGTGCCGATCGTAGTACATAGGGGCGAGATCGCCGTTTTGTAGTCGATTGTTAACGATCAAAGAATTAGTGTGTTAATCCGCTGTTGTGTTTATTCGTCGCTATATCACTCCTGATTCCGACTTTGAATTTGTGCGTTAAACGTGGTTGTGCTCGACGCGTTATTCAGTCGTCGGAACATCTTTTGCTTCCCAAATCTCAAAATAGACAATTTATGCGGACGGCCGTGAGCTAACCGGACGGGAACGGTTGCATATTCTCTGTTACAATATATATATGTATATTTTATAGCTTATTTTTAATTGACAATATAGATTTTCTGCTTGAAACTAGTAGTATTTTCTCATTTGTAGATTAAGTTATTTTTATTTGGTCCATATATGGGTTGTGACGGTAAACGTCAAATTAGCGCTGATAACCTAACCTGATTGCTGCCTGGGAGGGCAGCACCTACCGGGGGGACGAAATACGTAACGAAGGAATTCGGCGCGCGAGCAGACGGAACGCGCGCGATTGAAACCGAACATAGTGAAGCTTTGACCACCGACACGCTCGTCCGCTTTTATTGTTTTGCCACTACTGATCCGCTGCAGCTAACACCGAAAATCGAGAGGACGCCCGCTTCAGTAATAGCCAGAGTGATCGCTATCGTCAAGGTGCCCTATAGCAGCCAAAGGGAGAGATCTGCGCCGACAGAGAAGCGTCGCCCCAGACGAAATCAAGACAGTGTGGGTGAGGTTTCGCCATCGAGGGCGAAACCGCGTGTGCGCGCATTCGCGACCCGCGATATAAACAATAAAACAACTTTCTCGCAGTGTGTGTCTCTACCGTTTTCTTCGAACGTCTGCAATATCAAAACAAAGATGAAATGATAAAGAATTTCACCCCTTTGGTACCTGCATCTGCCCTCTAAAATTATTCATGAATCAAAAGATACACAGGTTGAAATATTAAATTCAG